CAAAAGAGGCCGAAATGCAATCTGGGAACCCACTGGCTATTGTCTGACAGGGATTTTGCTTTTTATTGTTTTAAAATGAGCTTCTTGTAAAATAATACGGACGTACACGTTGTTTCTTAAATTCAAAACCAGTTGCCAATCGGACGCTGCACAAATAGCAGCGCACGGAAAAGGAAGTCTTGGCCCGGATATCTGCTGACTACACCAAAACACCAGAAAATGAGCCCCTTGCCCCCAGAGGCGTATCTGTCGTCAGACCGATAGCTAATGGGTTCCAAGATTGCATTAATCATAACGCACCTTTATGCTTTAATCTGTCTCCCTCAGATTGCTGCCAGTCTGGAAAAGAACCTAATACCCAAACTAAGCAACTCTCCTCCAGACATTGAAGCCCTGAGAGTCTACCTCACTCTTCCAGAATGCCCTCTCTTCGGGGACCGAAATAATTACGTGACCATCGCGATCCCGTTCGCCAAATCCCTCCTCAGTCTGAAAGAGGCTCCACTGAAGGTCCTAGGTAGGATGAAGAATGTGTTTTTATGCTTCATGCCACACATGATCCAACAATTTCTGCTAGTCATATTGTCTTCACAACATGTTTGTTCTTGTATTTGCGCCAGGAAACTGGTGGTCTACATTTGAGCCCCCAGTCTTCCAGCGGCTGGTTGAGTTGTACAAGGAAGTGGTGGTGTATCTGCTTCAGATGCACAAGATGGGCATTCCTTCGGTAGAGCAGAGAATTTTCACCTGTTTCCTGGACACGTCCCTCCGACTCCTGGAGATCCTGCACATGGTGAGAAATGACAAAAAAAATAAACGCATGGATCTGTGTTACAACAGCTGTCGCATTTACATCCTACAGTACCTGGAAGAAGTGTTGATTACAAACATTTGTCTGTGGTTTCAGGTGAGTGAGAGAGCAGGACACATCATTCAGTACGATAAATTCTACATCCATGAGTTGGATGACCTGATAGACATCAGGAATGACTACGTCACATGGATTCAGAGGCAGATGTACCCATTGGTGAGTCTACTGCTGATGTCACCTAATTACATTCGTCTGTGTTTAGGCATTTGTATGAACCATTTGTTCCTGCCCCCTTTATCCCCAGGGTCATGATGGTGTGGTGACTCTCTGCAGGTATCCCTTTGTGTTTGATGCCCAAGCAAAGACCACACTGCTACAGACTGATGCTGTCATACAGATGCAGGTAATAAGGAGCTGAATCCACTGCACTGTTGAATCTTTGAAAAGTATAAATGTTTTTCAATCATGCACCATCCCCTTGTTATATCGATAGATGGCAGTGGACCAGGCACAGATGCAAAACTTCAGTTCGATGTTCCTGCCAGCGGTTGAGTCTGTCAACCCGTGCCTCATCCTCATCGTTCGGAGAGAAAATATTGTTGGAGACACCATGGAAGTCCTCAGGAAGTCAAAGAATGTTGACTACAAGAAACCACTCAAGGTAAAAGCTGCTATAATCGAGATTGTCCATTAACAGTGGAGCAAATGATTGAAGTGTATGTGAAAGGTGTTGCTCATAGTGACGAACCCGTAGAAAATTGCTCTGTAGTTTCCCTCAGTGCTTCAGCGTCTTTCAGCTTGTTGTTTTGGTTTGGTATGATGGCAGCAGGCAGCTGTTTCCAGTGAAAAAGCAAGCTCTAAAACCCATTGTACACGACCCGCCCAGCACCATCCAGCAAACAGAGAAAGTTAGCAACTAGCTGGTGAACATAGTGGAGCATTTAACTGGGAGTTGGTGGAGGATTGGGCTACCAAAAGGTACTGCTGTTGCTCTAATGTTTGGGACATTCATGGCAGGTGATCTTCGTGGGAGAAGAGGCAGTCGATGCAGGAGGCGTGAGAAAGGAGTTCTTCCTCCTGATAATGAAAGAGCTGCTGGATCCAAAATACGGGATGTTTCGTTACCACGAGGACTCCAGGCTCATCTGGTTTTCAAACAAGGTACTTCCTGTATTAATAACCTTTGTATGCTCATGCAGCCGAAATATCCCTAGCTGTATTAAAGTGCGTGTGTGATAGTAGAGACACTGAAGTAGTTCTCGTATTATAAATTGGTACATTCCAAATCCTGTTTACAGTCGTTACGCTTGTTGTTTTGTTAGTACTTGATAATATGCATTTGCTATTACATTTAGTAGCTAAATAATTGGAGGGACGCACAACGTATAGGCATAGTTTTTTTTTTAATGCATACCTATTTTTGTTTACCTGTATATAACTGAATGTATGAGACACATTGAGTATGCCCTCTAACAAAAGGTGTGACGATCCTTTACAGACCTTTGAGGACATTGACTTGTTCAACCTCATCGGGGTGATCTGTGGTCTGGCCATCTACAATCTCACGATAGTGGAACTCAACTTCCCCGTGGCCCTGTACAAGAAGCTCCTGAAGAGGAAGCCAACACTAGATGACCTGAAAGAGCTAATGCCAGATGTGGGAAGGTCAGATCAAGGAACAGTCATCTGAGGTTCCCATTTAACATGTTTTAAGAATGTCAGTTTACCATGGTAACTTATTAACTGAATCCAATGTTGCAATTATATTACCACACAGAGTGTTGATTGAAAGAGTTCACCTAATGTCTGTTTAAGAAAATACTGTAAAATGTGTCTATTTCTGTGTCCTCATAAACTAGGAGTCTGCAGCACTTACTGGACTACACAGAGGACGACCTAGATGAAACCTTCTGCTTGAACTTCACAGTAAGATGATTGACGAACAGCAGTCTCGTCACGTGTAACATAAATAGTTGTGATTTCCGAACACTGCCTACATTTTCAGATCACAGAGGAGAACTATGGTGCCACGGAGGTCTTGGAACTAGTACGGAACGGCGAAGACATCACGGTCAATAAATCAAACAGGTACAATTGTCTCGATTGTCCTGATAACCTGTAGCAGATATTTTATTATTTGCATTACTTTCTGTTTTAGAAATCTAGCCATATTGTTGTTATGCCACTTTATTTTACATGTAACGTTCCCCCCCCTGTAGGCAGGACTTTGTCTACGCATACGTAGACTATTTGTTCAACACATCAGTGGCCCCGTTGTTTGAGTGCTTCTACGCTGGCTTCCACAAGGTGTGCGGTGGAAAAGTTCTAGAGCTGTTCCAGCCAAATGAACTGCAAGCCATGGTCATTGGCAACACCAACTATGACTGGACGGAGCTCGAAAAGGTCTTGTTTCATATTATCATAACTCATTTTGTGGACTTTGTAATGTAATCTTTTGAAAGTGGATAATTTGATGAATTTGAAACATACATTGAGTATTACAAAACTGGTCAGTTGTTATTTTAAATAGTTACAATAACTTGTATCTCACCCTTCAGAGTACTGAATACAAAGGGGAGTACTGGGCGGACCATCCCACCATCAGGCTCTTCTGGGAGGTGTTCCACGGTCTTCCTTTAGAGAAGAAAAAGCAATTTCTCTGTAAGTGCTGCCCACCATTTATCGAAAATATCACAGAAGCTGCGGTTTTGGCAACCTGAGTTTACTCATGTGTTTTGTTGGAAACTAATCCACCTTAATAATGCAATTTTAAAATGATTATTCAAGTGTATTTCGGTTGTCTTGTACTGTGAAATACAGCTGGAAATGTGAACCGTCTCTTGCCTCAACAGTGTTCCTCACAGGAAGTGACCGCATACCCATTTTGGGCATGAAAAGCCTGAAGCTGGTGATCCAGCCCACCAGGGGAGGGGAGCAATACTTACCTGTGGCCCACACCTGCTTCAACCTGCTGGACCTACCCAAGTACAGGAGTCTGGAAACACTCCGTGAGAAGCTTCTACAGGCTATAGATCACAATCAAGGCTTTAATCTTGCCTGATGGAACACAGAAATGCCTATAACTCCATGTCCAGACTGTTGAGGGCGACCGCATTCCCAAATGTTTTCATTTTTCGGAGCCTGAATTCTGCTGTAAGAATTGGACACTGGGTGGAAAGAGGAGGCCGCATGGCACTAAAACTGATTAAGAGTCTGATGTCTAGACTGTCGCAGGTAATCTTGACTTTGATTTCCCAGCTTCTTTTTTTTTTCCCCCCATGCTGTCACAGTATTTGATGCTCTATTCCAAGTCGATTGACATTTGATATTGCTCTTGTAGATATATTCTTGTTTGGAATATGATGAGTATGATAAGGCAAACTACTGGTATAGAGAGTACAGGGTATGCATACAGCAACACTTAACACCTGTAAAATAGAATGGCATGCAGTAGCACTACCTTTCTGAAGCTTATCATGTAATGCAATAGTGAGATGTTTCCATCATGTCTATTGTGGCCTCAAAATGACCAGATTTTAAATCAACACTTCTCTGACCGGGTCTCAATAAAAATGGAACATTTTAAGCTCCACTGCGGTAGTAGTTGCTGCATGGCTACTGCAGTGAGTCATGTATTTTACAGGAGATTATGATGTTGTGTCCGTCCCCTGTGTATTACACGTTTGAACCCAGACAATGTACACTAACTCCCTTTATGTTTGACATAAGTTCTGTTGTGACATTTGATTGAGAGCAGTGTGAACCGTTTGCTTTTAGATCCTGAGTGGATTTTCTTGGCTGTCAGCCTTAAACGATCCACAAATAAAAACAAAGTACAGCCACTGAAAGACATGCGAGTTACTTTGGGGATAAAATACTGTCTTGTTGTTGAAGTTATTTTTAAGTATAGTCTCCTGGATTACAGGTGTATTGCAACATTATAGCTTTGGGAATTCTGGCTAAAAATGTATTAACATGATCACTGATATTTAAGTATTTCCAGCGTTCCATTGAATGACATGTCAATGAGATTAGTACTAAAAGTAGTCCAGTTTAGCTTAAATAATTGAATTCGCCCTTTGTCACAGCACCATGGATAAGTTCCCCGATTTAAAAACCTGACAACAGATTTGTATCACTACAGTTCAGTTCAAGTTTACATTTTAATGATAAATGACACGCATACATTGCAGTATATGGCCATGAAGGAGGCAAATATGGACGTCTGTGTTGTCCTGTTTGTATCTGTGTATGTTTGTACAGCGCTTGCGTTGAATTTAGTTTCAATGGGGCAACTCATGGTGGACCAGTTTATAGTGGGAACCACAGGAAGGACAGCGCTGAGCATCTCCCTCATGGAGCCAGAACCACACAATAGCTGTGTTGTCTTCCTCACCTGCAGAGAATTACATCACGGATCACCTGGTTTGTAATGTACACATTGCATTCATACAGATCACTGGACTTTGTCTTTAATGTACATCACTTACAAAGACAGCCCACCAGTCTCTTGGTTCCAATGCATGGCACAATGTGAGGCTCCGCCTTTGTGCCAGCATACTCCTTGGGCTTCAGCATACTGTAGGGATCCTGTATTGTGAATTTAAAGAAAATTAGTACATTTTAAGATTTAAGCACAGTACACTTGTGTGTAAGGTAGCCAACCTTTCCCCGTTTGAGGGCCTGCAGAGCACGTCGCTCTAGTCCAGTCGCCTGTTCTTCATCGGTTGGTACTCCTGACAAATAAAACATACATGGGATGGGTTAACATCAAACTACAGTTGGGCTGTATGTCTAACGTTACTTGAAAGTCAGTAAAACTGCACGTCGGCACTCTCTCGCCACCCACACCAGCCTGTGCCCCTGTCCCATATCAGGATACTGGCATCTGACCAGAAAGGGTGTGTCTATCAAAGGCCTGTCCTCGAGTTAAAGTCCAAATGACCTTCATTGTTTGATTCAAACGCAGTAGTCACATTAGGGCGGAACATATAGTGACATAGCAGTCCCACTGCACATACAGTGACCACAAATACATTTCATTGCTGCGAATAAATTGTGTTGAAATTCAACGTCATTTTCTTCTCTACATTATAAATCAGCAGTGACAGCGAGCTGCCGTCCTACTATATACTGTATATATATGTATATATATATATATATATATATATATATATATATATATATATCTTAATGTCGTCAGTAATAAACAGACTCCTACCTTTAGCTGTGGCCATAGCGCGGTGTAACGGTCGAGCCACCACATTGCTCCTCAGCTGCACTGTTGTTGTACAGACTCGGAGAAGTACACGTCCCGCCATTCTTGACACACTGCAGGTGGACTGACCTGAAGCAACAGTCGCATGGACTGAAATGACCCCGACGACCGTCTGAGTGACAGATAGTCGGACCAATAGGAGCAGCAAATATGGCTGTGCTAACCAATGAAATTGACCCTTCGATAAGCCCCGCTCCGCGAACGCATACTGACCAATCATAGCTCAGCATCGGCCTGCTCTGAATAGGGTCCTACCAGCGGCTCAGACGAGCAATGTTTGGACGGGACGAGTATATACTTTGCAACAAAACAAGCAAGGGAATCAGACAGATGACCCTGGGAGGTCCGTGTACGTTTTGATAGTCTGTTTTATCGTTATTGCATTGTGATTGCATTCCTGTATCTGAGTTGTATTGCTGTATCTCAATTCTTCTGATTCTTCCGTCTGCAGTTAATCTGCTCACATGATTTCAATCATCACAGCTTTGTTTTACAGGAGCTGTTCCAAAACACACCACTATTCTGTCCAAAAATGATTATCATCAGTGAAGTTTCTGTGGTCGGAGAGAGGACTAAATCCATCCTCAGTTTGAGTAGATTTCATTTTCTTTAGTAAACACGTGTGAAAGACTAGCAACAGTGGATGTTACAGGTCCAGCCTTTCCCATAACAGATTAAAAATGAAAGTTTATCTTTTTTAAATAAAACTTAGTCAAATAAAACTATACATATTATATTCAAGGGTAACGGAGTGACATATATACTCATCAAAATTTAAAATAAAAATCCCTTTCTACCCCTAAAATGTAAAAAAACACAACCCCGTCCCATCTGCAACATAAATGCCACGACAAGACATTTGTCAATTGAACCAATAATCTTACACTTATCTACAGCACTTATAAGAAGAACTAAAAGCCATTACTAGAATCAGGTGAATTGTATAGTTTCGAATGATTATTTATACCACTGTTAACAATGTAACAATACCGCTAACTGTTCATCTCCAAGTAGATGATGATGCAAGAGAAAAAAGAAAAAAAACATCAGTGGCGACAATCTCTTGTTATAACATCAATCAGACATTTGAGTCCATCTTTAAAAAATTGTGGCAGATTATTGACAGCATTGTACTGCTGCAGCAGTACACTCACATCTGGGCACTGCAGAGCAAATTCCCTCTCTGCAGCATCCTGGTCCTGTGCTCTGTGAAAGGTTGGTGCCAAAGTGTGACACTTGTGTCAGTGAGCCTACCTCTTGTTTATTCCGGCAAAAGGTTTGTGGACAGCTTTTTTGGGCATCCCTCTCTGGCCAAGTAACTAGGGATCCCCTTCCCTATAATAAGAATGTAAACAATGGCTTTCTCTTTGAAATAAAATGTTTCTAATTCTGTGGGCCCTCTGTGCATTCAAGAAGCTGACCTAAAATCTGGCTTCGAGGTGGAACTAAAATAAACACAATCAGTGTTAACTTAAGGCTGACTATTTTCAAAATAAAAACACATCTGAAGGTCTGCATCCGCCTACAGCTCCAGAGATCAATCTGAGGGGTCACAAGACGTGTAACATGATAGCAAAGAAGAAAAGAGAAGCAATTACTAAACTATTCGTTGCTCTTGTCTTGTGAGATTAGGAAAACATTTAGAATATTCTTAGAGTCAAACTCTCTGTATCTCAATGGAAATAAAACTGAAGTCATTTTATTTGGACCACAAGATCTTCTCATCTTGGCCCTTTGACCTCTTTTGTTTAACCATTCAAATCAGGATTTTAAGTGTGACAAATAAATCAATGAGGTAGGTAAATGATGCTTAGTGTTTAATAAGAATGAACCAAATGTCTGTTTATTTTTAAATTGTCATTATTTATTGCTTCATGAGCTACACATGCTCACTCTTCATGACATACAAATAACAAGTAAATACATGATGTTTACAATATTGCAAATTAACCATAAACATCAAATACGAGATGAAATATCCTTCATTAAATACATCTGTATCAATAACCTAGATAATTAACAGACATCGGTAAATATAACTAAATCTATGGTTTAAATACACTCATACTGCTATCTGCTGGTAGAAACGGTCAACACATACTCTGCCTCTCCTTTTACAGTCTATGCTCTGTGTTCACTCAAGCAGCAGCACAATACGGTGGAAAGTGCTAACAGCAACAACTCTGCGCACACAAAAATCACTTTGATTAAATTATATTACGAACTGTATTGCATCAAACAATGCACAGACTAATCGAAAACTATATTCTTGCTGTGCACGTGGATAAATTAATATTAAAATGCATGTAGTCAACTACTGTTGCTAACATACTTGCATCGGCCCACGCTTATTCATTTATATTTATTCGTTTTTCTTCTAATGTTACCCTGGTATGTGCTTGCATCATAGACTAACAGTTTTCATTCTATTGCCTTGACTTTTATTTTGACATATTCTTACTTCCGTACTACCTGTCTCGTTTTTGGATTTAAATTCAAAAACGTCTGTGCTGAGAAAGTGATTCTATGCTTTTTATATTACATTCAGTCATTGCATTGCATACGTTTCGAAATGGTTCAACAACTAAGGAACACAAGTTTACTAAACATTCTGCAGAGATTGATGGACTTTATTGAGCTTTGAGAAGAGCTGGATTCGGAGCTGATTGTGGAGGATGAGGAGGAGGAAGAAGCATCTCTGATGAACAGCTGTTGTAGACGGTCCTTGGATCAGCTCCTGGTAGATCTGGAAGCCTGTGAAGTCCACCAGGGCCTGGAGAAAACCACAAGTGTGTGTTATGTTACAATTATTATATAGAACATCCCTGCTTTAACTTCATGAAAACAGGTTTAATCATTTCTAACATGCATTTAAAATCAGATGAAGTAAAAATACACGAA